CATGTCAGACCCCCAGAGGAGGCTGCTGATGCAGAGAACACTTTATGACATACCTCAAACGACATTGCACAGGCAACTACCACCTGCCTGCCAGGAGCCCACATGGGCCTGGCCCTACTGAGGAACTTATAGCCTCTATTTAAAATAGCTCACTATAGGGATACTCACACTTTAAATGTAATTGATGGTGGCAATGATCTTCTCAATGGCACCTGACACCCTACTGTGAAGAAAGACACATCAGCCTTTGCCATGAAGAAGCTACCAATTATACTAAACAAACGTGTGAGTAGCTATTAATCAAAACTACTAAACAAACAATTAAATGATGTCACACAAAACAGACCCATTTAGGCACAGCAGCTATGCTTTGGCATTTTAATCATTTGCCCTCCATGTAGTGTAAAGTCGAAACAAGTAATCTCTCTCAGTACTGAGATCAAATTCCATTGATGAAGTTCAGCTTTTAATGATAAACCCTAAGGGTTCTTTTTCTTGTATTATTGCATAATCTAAAAATTATTCTTGCCTCTTCAGTAATAGTGTATTATAAATAACATCCCTTTTAAAGGCTGTGAAGATGTTAATATAACGAACAGTGAAAAACAGGAAACATGATTATAGAGAAGAAATTTGTTTGCAGACAGCATTTTAAATTTAGGTGATATTGATCTTTGCCAGTGCTCCAAACTATTTCAAGTGTGGGCCAAAAGATTCCTAGAAATTTGTCACCAATGCCCTCACTCCATTAATCCACTAGAGACCTACATAATCCTTATTTGAATGAAATACCAAGATGGCCTCTAGTGTATTAAGTTTATTTTGAAATACACCAGACTTATGTTCAACTCAAGCAAGTGCCTACCACTAGCTATATCCCAAATCTAAATTTTTAAAGGAAATATCAATGTGTAATAGTCCTAATATCAGAAAATAAATAGTACATTCAATCTTACTCGACAGTAGAAATAAAATCGATCCCTTAAGAAACATAGACACATAGTGTGAGCATTGCTCTGAGTGTGTGTGTGTGTGTGTGTGTGTGTGTGTGTGTGTGTGTGTGTGTGCATGTCTTCCATTGAGCATATAAATCTGCCTGCAGGCTCCAATGTTGCCTGTCACCCTCCATTCTGTTGATGTGAATTGGCTAAACTTTTGCCTCTTTTTCCTCTTCAGTTTTCACTTCTTACACTTGATGCAGCTTTCAATTGTGTAGAACATTACCACCGTAGAGTAGAAAGCACGTGACTCCACCATGTCCTCTAATTCTTCAAAGATACCAAGTCTGCACTGTGGTTGCTCACATCTTGGCTGAGTCCACCATATACAAATATTATGCTTCTGGATTAAGAGATAATAGCTTTTGTAGTTTTCTCACTGGAAAAATCAAGAATGACTAAGGTTAAAATTTCCTGTTTATTCTTTTCAAATAGTTATAGATTTAGTTTAGCAATAGAGTTATAATCATTCCACAGAGTATATGACCTGACATGATTTTCAAAAAAAAAGTCAGATTTTTTATGTGCATGTGTTGAGACTTTAGTCAAAGCATGTACTATAAAACAGAATATTAGTACAACCAAAATAGATTAAAGAAAGAACTACTTGCTTTCTAGAGTTAAAAAAAATCACAAGAAAAACCCATGAAGGAAATGATTAGGCTCACAAAATTGTTCTGAAAATAGAAACCTCACCAGAGCTGAAAAGTTGTTAATGCTCTGCCTGAAAACTATGTTCTTAACATTTCTCCAACCTTATAGTAACAGACCATATTTCAATATTGGAAATTGGGATCTTATATTTCTGCTTTGTTGGAAGTTTGATTTGTCATTATTTTCATTCTGATTCAGTAATCTAGAAGACAACTGACAGTATTGATTATTTTAATCCAGAAGCCTGGATTTTCTTCTTGAAGTAGCCATATTGAGATTGGAGATTAAATGCTTCTAAACATGTTTGTCTGGTTCTTGAAACAGCTGATGGAATGATGGTTATTATTACTTTTAAACGGTTTTCTTAGTTTTTATGTATATCTAGCTCACATTTGACTACATGACTCTTTTGCAGTCATGAGTCTTATTTGGTCATGAGTTCTATGCAGTCCTGTGTTACACTGAATGCTATGTGGTCAGGAGTCCCAAATGATAGTGAGTGCCATATGGTCATGAGTCCTGAATCCCAAACTTTATACCATGTGTGCCCTTCAGGCTATATGTTGGCCTTTCTAAGATCCAATATGCACAAATAGGATTATAAAACAAGTGTGCTTGCTTGAGTTAGGTTGAGGACTAAATGAGATAATCAAGAGCTGTTGACCAGAAAGCCAGACCCATTTTAACTCCTTTTGTGTTAAATTGCTTCTGTCCTGTCTCATTGTAAGTCAGGCCATCTTAATGAAGTTTTAATGCATAGAAGTCATTCTGTCCTACTGAATGGAGTAAAATGACTACATCCTCATAAAGCAGCTTAAAAAAATGAAACACAGAGCAATTGAAACAATATTGCTTTGGTCTCCTGTTCCCCTAACTGAAGCTTAATGTTCTATAGGCACAGTATGTCCCTATACCTTCACTTCTCACTCCTCACCCATTCTTTAGCCCTCAAAACAAAGTAGTTTCTGGCTTGGAGCTGAGCCTCTTCCCCATGACACGAGCATCTATCATGTTTTTGGATGGCTAAATCTAGGGATCACTTGTCAGCTGTGAGTTTCCTGGGAACTCTCTGCAGCACTTGACTTAAGCCGTTGGCATCTTTTCTGCTTAGTGTCCTTCATGACCTATTTCCTTATCCTTCCTTTTAAGCACCGTGGTATCCAGAGGCATCCACACTTGGCTACCTTTTACACAGGCTTCATAGATGCACTGATCTCTTAGCTAAGAATACATAAGTGAATTCTCTCTTCCATCCTAGCCTTTCCTGCCTGCCCTGCCCTGTCTTGACTTGCCCTGCCCTTCCTTCCTTTGCTTTGCCTTGTTCTGTCTTCTCATCTCATCTGCACTCCCCTCGTCTTGTATGGACTCTGTCTCCTAGATTTTCCTCTTTTTTCCTCCTCCTTATCCCTAATTCTGCATCATCTTATATTTTAATTGTTTCTCTCAACCAACTTATATTTCTAGTTACCAAGTACTACTGTGAGGCATATTTATTTTAGTAAAGTTTATTTAGTCAGTGACCTAAAAGGTGTTAGGACTTGAAAAAGAATCTTATTCAGTCTCCTATTTGGATACATTTTCATTCAACTTTACTTAATTCTTTCTATCAGCTTTCATTGTCAGCACCTTGACACAGCTCACCCTTCATGCAATAATAGATCCTCGATCAACTACTTAAAATGATCAGACACTGAAAATATATGAAGACAGATAAAATTGTCCAGAGCATGGATAGACTGTTTTTTCTGGAAATAAAAGTGCCAAGAACAGTTAGTATTCATAGTGTATAGTATAGTATAGTATAGTATAGTATAGTATAGTATAGTATAGTATAGTATAGTAAATCATCTGAAGATGGTTTAAAATATACTCAATAATCCTTCACGTTTTGTAAGCACAAAGTGAACTTCTGCAAATGTTAGTATCTTCTGGGATAGAATGGAACCAGTGTGGACCATTGCATCCACGCATATTGGTCAGCTTTAGTAGTAACCCAACATCAAATAAAGTAGAAGTTGATTGGACTTTTCTTAGTGTTAGCTGTTTGATTGCTTTACTAGGGGCATTTGGATACAGGTTAGGAAAGCTGTTGATTTCCATGTCTGAAGTTGGAATGATACTGGGATATCTGGTAAAAGAGGTTTTTTTGGAATTTTTAAATGAGTCTTTGGATTCTGTATAGTGTATCAAATTGAAGAAATAACTCTGGAAATTGTGCTTGCTGCTGTGCACACATATATGCACACATGAGCACATACACACATATACATACACTAAGTAATAAATAAACAAAAACATAATAAAATATATTTTTTAAATCCTAACCATAATAACAAAATTCCAAATAGGCTAGTTTTTATAAAGACCATAATTTCTCTGATTCAATTTTCTTTAATGCTAAGATGACCTTTAAATTTTTCTTAAGAATCACTCACTTGATTCACTGAGTACAGAAAAAGTGACAAATTCTGTGGTGGTTGCTGGATCAAAATAAATACAACCAAGAAATCTGGGCCTAGGGGTCTTTTCTGAGACTGATACTCCAACCAAGGACCATGCACGGAGATAACCTAGAACTGCTGCACGGATGTAGCCCACGGCAGCTCGGTCTACAAATGGGTTCCCTAGTAAAGGGAAACAGGGACTGTCTCTGACATGAATTCAGTGGCTGGCTCTTTGATCACCTCCCGCTGAGGAGGGAGCAGCCCTACCAGAGCACAGAGGAAAACAATACAGCCAGTCCTGATGAGACCTGATAGGCTAGGGTCAGATGGAAAGGGAGAAGGACTTCCCCTATCAGTGGACTTGGAGTGGGGCATGGGAGGAGATGAGGGAGGCAAGGTGGGATTGGGAGTGAATGAAGGAGGGGGCTATGGCTGGAATTCAAAGTGAAAAAACTGAAATTAATATAAAAATATAAAATTAAATTTAAAAAAAAGGTTGGACTCCAACACTGCAGTCAGTTTTACCACTTCTGAGCAACTCTTTGACAGTATAGTCAAGAGAGAGAAAGTGATCGTTGAAGTGCCTATGTTATACCAAAAGTCAACCACAGGAGTCACTGTTTAACATCTGTATAGAGATTTATCTGGCATGCTGTCACCTGCTCATGTTTACCATATGCAATTTCCAATGCCTTGAGATGTGTATACCTTCCTGTGAGAATGTGAACCTGTCAAGTTAAAGGAAGCATTCACCCCTGTGGAGGTTCCTTCGAATCTCTTCATTCTCTTCCCACTTGCTTACCACAGATCTGGCACAACAACATTTGTTAAATGATTGAAGATTATGTCTGCCTGTAGAGATGGCGCTTGGTCTCATGTTCTTCTGCCATTCCTTCTTCCCTAGGTGTGCAGCGCTATTCAGAATCAGGACTTTACTGTCATTGAAGATTACTGCACTGGCCTCAAAGCCCTTCTTTATCTGAAGAGCATTGAAGAGTTAGCAGACTGGGATGGACAGAGTCCAGCCATTATGAGCCATCAGAAAGGAAAACCAGTTCCACGAATTGCTGAGCTCACAGGACAGGTATGCACTGCTCTCCCCTGTGCTGACCATGGAGAATTTTGCGTGGGTTCATTTCTCTTTCAGATCATTTGCTTTTCCACACCTCCACTAAGATACCAAAGGCAGTGCCTGTAGGATGTTGATTTTTTTTTTTACAGTAGATTCACTCTGAAGCAGGCTTGATTACAGCTATATGATAGGTCTCTGAGTTATCTCCTGATAAAACACAAGGTCACATAAAAGAAAAAGATTGAAGTTTGTAGTGTGAAGTGCCTTGAGTTCTTGCTGACTGTACTGATGACTAGCATTCTTTCCGGTGAGAAGCTGGAGATTTCTTTATTCTTTAACAAGCTCTGGAGATTATAACATTACCTTTCTATTTCAAGACAATCAAATCACCAGGGTCCTGAATAATATGATGCCATTTTTAAAATTAAAATCTAATCAGTATCTTTTGTAACTGCCTCTGCCGTGTGGTTAAACCTCAGCTCCAAAGGTTGCAGCCCTGCTTTCTCTCTAACTGCTATTTTCTGAGAAATATACACTACATTTACATTTTGTATAATACAGTGATTTCAGCAACTCTTTTCTAAAACAACCTTCAGCATTTTGTCTTTGTGTTTCCTTTGTATTATTCTAAATAGACAACCATTGTCAGAAGATATTTCTTGAGTCCTGAACGAAAGGAGAAAAAATTATAATTCTTAGTCTTTTCAGCTTGTCACTACATCAATAATTAACTTTAAAAAAGGGAGAGAGGCGGTATGAAAAGATTCTTTAAGGAGGCATTTAATAATTCACATGAGTTTTAACTTGAAACAGGTCACATGAAAAAGAATGAAAAACAAAAACCCTGGGTGTGCCGCCGTGGATGATAGTGAGAGGTTTGGCAAGACTGACGGATACAACGCATAACTGGGCAATGTTTGTGAAAAAGATCACTGTTCTTAGTCTAACATATATCCAAAAATAAAGACTTCCTGAAGAATAATATGTATGATTGCAGGCTCAGTAATGAGAAAGAGGGGAAGAAAACCTACAAAGTGGGTTCCAGGAAAATATCATGATGAATGACTCTCCATGAGTGGCAATCAAACAGAAAGGCTGTGACATTAATATTTATAATATTGTAATTAGAAGACAGAGCCTAAGCAGCATTATTAGTGTAACTAATCATATTATCATAGACTGAGTCTTCAGTATTCAGAGAGTGTTCTTGCCTTTATCAATGATCAGTAATACCCGAAGGTTGTTTATAACTAGAAAAATCATAGATGACATTGCACACATTCAATGTAAAAATATCTCAGGAAAATTGTTTCTGACATGGTATTTTATGACTGTCTATAAACATGGATGTGTGTCATGTGAGCTGAAATGTAAGTGGCTGCTCTGTGCTATCATGATTTGTCTTTTAAAGGGTATTCACCTTCATTTCTCCATTTCCATATTCAAAGGAATGAAGGATCAGGAAGAGGACATCTGTGTCCGTGACATAAATGGAAATTGATTTTCTAATAGTTTAGATCTAGATTTGGACTTTTATTTTGGTAAGCTCAGCCTTCAGCAAAATCATTAGTATAATTTTCCACATTATCAATTATTTAAAAAAATGATTGCTGAATCATTTCTCAAAGATAAAACAAGAAACAAGCAGATGGTCAGTAATAGGACCTGGGTTCTCTGGTACAAGCTGGTATGACTTAACCAGACACATCCCCTTTAGGTTAACATGCTGACTAGTGAATCTAAGTACTCTGGGTTCACATTTAAGGTGGCTTCCTGTCTGGTTCTTCTTGGTATGTGCAGGCATGTACATAAGCATGTGTGTGTGTGTGTGTGTGTGTGTGTCTGTGTGTAAGCAACCTATTAGTACATTGTACCCTGCTATCTATGAAACCTTACAGTGTTTTCATGGCATAAGGAAAAATCTATCATAGTTAGCTGGGTCTCATTTGAAATGTATAAGTGTTATTCTCCTTAAACTTTCTCTTTTGTAAATCATTCTAGATTAGAGTAGAAATTAAAAACAAAAAGTTGTAAGTCAGAGTTTAATGGCAGAAAAAAATGAAACCTTGAGAGTTTGGCTAGAGAGAGAATTTGGCTAACTGAGATATGATATTTTTCAAGATATTAGTAAATGTATTGTTAGTATTTGGCATTTTGGGGCATGGGCACTATGATGATGTGATTATTTGTCTGGGAACCATGAAAGAAATTGGACTGTCTAATATTTGAGCATCAAATTTTATGATCAGAAAAGCAGAGAAATAAATGTCCTTACTGATTATCATTGGAGAGGGGAAAAGGACCACTGAGCAAGCCCCAATATACATGGAAGAGAAACAGCAAATGACCAAACCTTCTGCATAGTTGGGGCTCTTTGCATTCTCATATGCAGTTCCCTGCCTTTTGAACAGCCTTCCAATCCAACAGGAAAAACTTTCCAAATATTTCCATTTCCTTACATTACGTTATAACTCTAAACCAGAGCCAGTTTCTCCTTTTGTCCCTTAGAACTTGAGTCCCAACAGGTATCACAAAACTGCAGTTTTACATCTTTTAACTGTTCTAGACAGACCCCTGTCATATCCATCTTTACATCATAGTACAGGCTTAATAACTGTTGGTTCAGCAGCTGGGTAAATGTAGGAATACAGTGTGGGACCAGAATGTAGAACTGGAAGATACCAGCTTCATTGGTCATCAGGTTTATCACTTTCTCTATTACATTATTAAAGAAGAACGGGGAAGAAACAACCTTTAATGTTGTTTAATGGGAAATGTGGCCCCATGAGCTCATGTGGACACATTTGGACACTTGGTCATCAGCTGGTGGCACTGTTAAGGAGAACTGTGGAACATTTAGGATGTGGAGACTCACTGGAGGAAGTAAGTGACTGGGGGGAGGCCTTGAGGCTTTATAGCCTAGTTACATTTCATATGCACTTTCCATTTCCTGAATGGGGTGGTTTGAATGAGAATGGCTCCCATCAGTCTATATATTAGAACGCTTTGTCACCAGGGAGTAGAACTGCTTGAAACACTTAGGAGAATTGGGAGATGTGCCTACTAGAGTCCTTGTGAAGAAAGTATGGAATATTATTGGGGAAAAAAGTATGTAACTGAGGCTGGGCTTTGAGCCCAGTCTCCCCTACCAGGCCTGCAGGTCAGTATGTAACTCTTAACTGCTGCTCCAACATCATGTGTTGATCATGCTTTCCACCAGGATTATGGGCTAAATCTCTAAAACTCTAACTAAGTTTCCAATTAAATACTTTGTTTTGTAAGAGTTGCCTTGGTCACAGTGTCTTTTCAAAGCAACAGAACAGTGACTATGACACTGAATGTGAATACAGTTTGACTAACCAGCCTCCTGCTTATTCCAACATGCCTTCCCTATTACGATGGAGTGTACCCTTCTGATGCCACCAGCCAAAATAAGCCTTTTCTTTTTTTAATTTTTTTATTTTTATTATTAGTTACATTTTATTAACTCTGTATCCCAGCTGTATCCCCCTCCCTCATTCCCTCCCAATCTCACCCTCCCTCCCTCATCTCCTCCCTGCCCCTTTCCAAGTCCACTGATAGGGGAGAACCTCCTCCCCTTTCATCTGACCCTGTTTTATCAGGTATCTTTGGGACTGGCTACAAAGTCCTCCTCTGTGGCCTAGCAAGGCTACTCCTCCCTTGGGGGGGGGGGGAATGTCAAAGAGCCTGACATTGAGTTCATGTCAAAAATAGTCCCTGTTACCCTTACTAGGGAAACCCACTTGGTTACTGAGCTACCATGAGCTACATCTGAGCTTAGGTTCTAGGTTATATCCATTCATGGTCTTTGGTTGGATAAACAGTCTCATATAAGACCCCTGTGCATTTTCTATTTTAGGTTTCTATTGTAAGGGTATTTCAATCACAGCAATTCAAAAGTAACAATGATAAATGTTTAAATCTTATTTTAGGAGTCTACTTTAACAGAATGAGGTGGGAAAAAAAAACAAAAGAAATCATGAAGTAGGCAAGTGAGCAACGTGTATGCTTCCTTGGCTTGGCAAATGTCACAAAGTGATAATAAGTTTCTTGAGAGCCCAGGTCTAAGTACCGGTGTCTACAATAGTGCCCATCATGTGGAACAGTGACACAGTGCTTGCTTTGGTTAGGGTTTCTATAGCTCTGAGCAGACACCACGGCCATGGCAACCCTTATAAAGGGAGCCATTTCATTGGGATTGGCCTACAGTTTCAGAGGTTTAGTCCATTATCAATATGGTGAGACGTATGGTCACATGCAGGCAGACCTGGTTCTAGAGAAGGAAGCTAGAACTCTACATCTGGATTGACAAGCAGCAGGAAGAGAGAGAGAGAGAGACTCTAAAGTCTCGCTTAAGCACTTAAAACCCCAAAGCCTACCCCTAGTGACACACTTCCTCCAACAAGGCCATACATCCTAATAGTGCTACTTCCTATGAGACTACGGGGACCATTTTTTATTCAGACCACCACAGGGGTTTAATAGCTGGATGAACACAATTATCATTCGCTTATTTTAATATATACCTTGAGTTTCATTTCCTTTCTGAAGCCATCTAAAGCTTTCCTTTCTCATTGGGAAATTCAAATCACTTCCTCCCTCCTTCTAGAGACCTTTGCTCACACAATTAGCAAGCCAAGCAAATCTTCCAGTATTGTGTCTGCTTGTCCATTGCTGCAGCTCATTATAAGCACTTTGAGACTGTACAGCAGGCCTGCTTTATTCGTGCGTTTCCAAGCACCTTGAGCAATGCTACATGTTTATAGAATTAAACCGCACAAACTTATCTGTGCTATTCTTATTTAGAAGAAAAGAGAAAGCAAATTTGTAATTAAAATTCCAACTTGGCTCTTTCAGGAATAGCAGGCATTTATGAGGAAAGAGTAAATGTGCCAAATTACTTTCAGCAGGTATTAAAGCATGATAAAATACATATCAGCGATATTAATAAGTGAACCTAATCTACGCTCATTAAGGGGCTCTCATTAGGA